TCATTATATATGTCTTCCAACAAACATAAAATAAATTTTTTATATATTATTAATTTTAAAAAAATAAGTATTTGTATAATAAATAAAGAAAATTTTATAAATATAGCCAAATTTGCTAATTATTCTACACAAAATAACCAAAAATTAGCAAATTACGCAAAATAATCATTAAAATCGCAGATAATTAGGATCATCTATGAAATCAGAAGTTTATCTGCAAATATACAAGTCATTAATGCACAGCATGTGCATCAAAACGTGTACATTCGTCCATCTGCGATTTTGACCAAGTTCATGATTTTTCTCTTGCATGTATAAATACATTTTTTGGAAAATCTTTATTTTTTCATCTTCCAACTAGAAAAGTTCTTTCAAATTCTCTGTTGAAACTAAACAAGATTTCTAAAGAAATAAATAATAATCTAAGGTTTTTTTTTTTGCTAATTTTTATATAAAATCTATCCATTTGTAGGAAATCAAAGTCACCAATATGAGATTTCATAGTCAATCTTACCAAATTTGTAGTCAAACCTAAGTATTTAAAAAAAAAAATCAACATAAAATCAAAGATGGGATGAGAGCATATCACAAAAACAAAATCCATCTTCAATTTGGTGAATAGTTTTCGAAAAAATAATCTTTTTATAGCATTCGACAAATAGTTGGCCACACCAAATAGTAGATGGAATGCTGAAATCATAGATGGGATCTAGCCATATTCTAGTGGCTATTTTGCATAAATTAATTAACAAATTTGATTAAATTAGCAAATTTCTTACTTCAAATGACAATATATGAAATAACCAGTAACCCCAAATAGCAATATTTATTTCTTTTTACCACCATCAAAATAGCTTAAGGGTAACCATTTGAAAATTAAGCACTCTAAACTATATTTAACATGTTCGAATGACCCACGTATTAATGCTAGGATGGTCTTATGTTTAAAAAAATAGGGAAAATGATAAAAATGTCATACGAACTTTCTAGAGTTTATCCGTTGAGTCTCTAAAGTTTTTGTCGGGCTTTATGGGTCCCTAAACTAAGATATGACATGCTCTTTTAGTCCCTATCAATCTGTAATAGCCGGTTCAGTAACTTTTTAGAAAAAAAAAAAAAAAAAAAAAAAAAGTTTGGGGATCAATTCGTACAAAAAAAAACTCTTCATTTCTTCTAAAGTTGATTCACACTCAATTCGAAGAAAAAAGAGATTAAAACTCATTTTCTCTGTGAACCTCATCAAACCCACACATCCTTCTCAACATCGCATCCATCAAACTTGTAACTCGGAGGAAGAAAGATAGGTAGCTTGTGCGATTTTGAATAAAGAAGAAGGAATGAGTGGGTCAATTCCTTGAAGAGCTGAAATCGAATCAAAGAAAATAGTGGAAGGGGGTTGTGATCGAGAATCGATTAGAAGGGGAAGGGGATTGTGATCTTCGGTGAGTACGTGTGACGATCAAGGGTAAAGATGTAAAGAAGAGCAACGATCTATTTTTTGGGAGGGTACAAATTGAATTTTTTTTTTTTTATCTAAAAGGTCATCGAAATTATTATTTTGACTTTATAAGGGCACAATGTGAGTTTTTTTCGTCTAAAATGTCACTGAACAAGAACATGTCATATCCTAGTTTAAGGACCCATAAAGCCCGATAAAAACTATAGGGACTCAACGGGTAAACCTTAGAAAGTTTGTATGGCATGTTTGTCATTTTCCCTAAAAAAATATTACTTATTAATTTTAAGTTAGAAGTTATTCAGATATGTGAGTCTATTAGATGTCCAAAATAAATATAATCTTAATAACAAATTACTAACATTCAACATAAAAGTAAATAACATCCTAAAATAATGTCAAACTTTTTGTTTATAAAATAATAATATATATTAATAAAAAATAAAAGTAACTGCATTAGAGAGCACTTATGTATATGATGTAAGTGAACATGTAAGTAAAAGTAACTAGAGTTCAGTTCCTAAGGTTTGAAATCGATTTATGAAATCTGTGGTTGTACAAAAGTTAATTGTTATGTATTGATATAAATAGGTCTTTACTCTCACTATAATGCCATGAATACCTATAATATATCATAATATATCATCAACCTATAATGCCATGAAGATACATTTACTCTCACTAACTTGTGATATACACAATCTGCAATGATATTGACCTCAAGACAACAACTAATTAAATTTATGATTTTGATAAACCCTTATTTATTTATTTACAAACGAAACAAAAAAACCAAAATCTGTCCATATTAGATACCTTTTTCTATTACCCGTTTTAACACCACCCATGTATATCCGATTATTCTTGAGTTTTCAAATTGAACATATTTCATGCAAAGATACTTTAGTTAGGTCATATCAAGCATGGCTAAGATGTATTTCAATCTTATATCAAGTTGAAGCCAAATTTGGATTTTATCATTTTGAGTTACCTTGATTGATATGGAATATGTGTGCATGTTCATACTAAAATCCATGCATCTTTTCGGTTTAGGTTCGAAAACTATCCTGAATTTTACGAAGATCCCCAAGCAAAGATGGATGTTAAGATAGCTCCAACCCTGATATGTGGCAATCAATTAGCATCTGAGGCAACAATTTTTAACCAAATAGTAGGAGAGCTGTTATCAGATATTCGGGTTGCTACTCCAAGAACCTCAAATTTCTATGTAGCATCCACAAAGCGACTCCCAAGTGGCAATACAACAATATATGCAATTGCACAGTGTGTTGAAAGCGTGACTCAGCCCATTTGCGAACAATGCATGAATATATCATATAACAATCTCAACAGTTGTCCACCAAGTAAAGAAGGAAGGACGCTTGACTTTGGGTGCTTTCTGAGGTATTCTCAGACTCCATTTTTTCAAGATAACCAGACAACCAACATCATACATTTCCTAAGTAAAGGTTAGGCCTCTTTTTCTCTTTCTTTCTCTTAACTTTCTCCCCCCAATCCAAAATATGCAAAAACTTTTTATCTTTATTTGTATATTTCCTCGTTAGCAACCATTACAGAATATTAATGAAATACTTTTACTTAACTATATGATAAGTCAAATGTTATATTTTTTTTGTATATTGATATATAGAGAAACCTTTTGATAGATCTTAAAGTTATCCAGAAGGAACTCCCACTACTTGGAAAAGCTTAGCTGATCATTAAAGCAAAATTACATATATTATTCTCCATATAGCTTTTGCAAAAAAATTATGTAAAAAGTTCTTTTTTTTTGTGTGACAGGGAGTTCAAGAAAATCAGGTATGATAATTGGAGCAAGTGTCGGTGTAGGTATCATTTTGCTTATCATTGCTTCGTCTTTGTGGTATAAACTACGGAAGAAGCCAAAAAAAGATGAAGGTGATAACTGATAATACATGTGATATTTAGAAAGTTACATTAATTTCTTTCTCCATGTCATGTTACTTAATCTCATTACATATACCAACAAAAACTACTCTATTGTATGTTTATTATCCGATACCTTAGGCAAGCATCAGTTCGAAGGGGTAAAAGCTTACAAATATACAGATTTACAGTCGGCAACACATAACTTCAAGGAAGAATATAAAATAGGAAAAGGAGGATACGGTGAAGTATTCAAGGTAGTGATTTAAATAAATGCTTTTATATTTTATTGTCAAAATATAGTTAGACCCTGAATTATATCTAAAAAAGAACATAAGAGTTAATTTATCCATTAACAGGCTGTTCTAGACAATGAGAATGTTGTTGCAGTTAAGAAGCTCCATGATGGATATGGTAAATCAAAATTGGAATTCAACAATGAAGTTAAGCTTATAAGCAACATACATCACCGAAATCTTACGCGATTACTTGGATGGTCTAGTGATGGACCTCAAGTACTTCTAGTCCTAGAATACATGCCACAAGGCAGCCTTGATAAATTCTTATGGGGTAAGATTTTAAAATCACATTACAAGAACTCGTCTTGAAATATTCTTATTCTTAATTAAAAATTATCCATGGACAGGTGAAAAGAGAGGAACTTTAAATTGGAGACAACGCTTTGACATTATGGTTGGAATTGCTAGGGGTCTTGTGCATCTACACGAAGAATTTCATGTTAAAATCATTCATAGAGATATAAAGTCAAACAACATTCTCCTTGATGATAATTTTCAACCAAAAATTGCGGATTTCGGGTTGGCTAGGGATCAACCCGAGGATCAAAGTCATGTTAGCACCCTGTTTGCTGGGACACTGTAAGTATTGTTTATTATATATAGCTCCATTTTTAATTTTTCTAGATTTGTATATTTTTTTTAAGTTTGAACAACAAAGGCAATATAGAGGCTATACTGCACCAGAGTATGCAACCAATGGACAGTTATCAGAGAAAGTTGACACATACAGCTTTGGCATTGTGGCCCTTGAAATCATCAGTGGTCGGAGGGGGACTGCTGTCAACTTAGATCCACATGGAAATAATTACCTCCTTCAACATGTAATATACAAACTTCCTTATATACTTGATTAATAGTTTTAATTAAAAAACAAAAATCATATTGTTATAAGTTGTAAGTTTTGAGTTTGCAATAATTGTAAATTGGTGAACAGGCATGGGAGCTGTATGAGAGTGGGATGCATATTGAGTTGGTTGATAAGGCGTTAGATCCAAATGAGTATGAAGAAGAGAATATGATGAATATGATAGAGATTGCTTTATTGTGCACTCAGTCACCTGTTAATCTAAGACCAATAATGTCAGAAGTTGTTTTAATGTTGTCAAGTGGGGGATCATTTAGACGATTACAGATGACCAGGCCTACTGTCATTGATCATCATAGGAGGATTCATGTAGATGCTAAAGGATTACATCAGATGTAAAGTTTTTGTATAGGAATTCATTGTAACATTCATGATCATCAATCCTCACCTCTAAAAAAATGATGTTTAAAAAATATCTGAGAAAACGATGGCATATACAACCATATATAGCTTACCAGATTAAGACGATTTCTCACTCATTGGTATCTCTGTTGTTGTTCCCTTCTTTTTTTTTGAATTTGTTAGCATCAATTGTACCATAAAGACAGATTCTAAGACTGCCATCTAGAAGTCTCTGGTGAAAGTGTGTTGTGTACAATTCCCAAAACTCATCCCTGTTGAAAACAAATATATAATCCCATCAATTCTTCGGAATCCATGGAATTCAAATACGATTTCTTGGCAAATTTTACACATGATTAAAAGGATTATCTACTCCAAATTTGGCTAAATGCAAGAAATAGCAACATTATAATTCTTATTTCTTTGAACATTTTAACCAGTTATACTAACTTTGTATCTCTATCAAAGTTATTAGATTGTTTTTCTTTTTATGATATAAAAGATAAGAGCTTTTCTTGTTCAACATTATAATTTGTAAGAAAGAACAATAAATAGTAGTAAAAAGTAACATTGAATTAAAGTAGTTGACAAGTTTAACCTTATCTGGGGGATGCTAAAAAGAGAATATCCCTTGACATCTGTCTGCATATCAAGCACAACAACTGATAGCCGTGATAGACCCAATGCTTCCATGTCAATTAACTTTTTGATCCTGAAAAAAAATTATGCATTGATTTGTTAATCAATATATAAGGAATAAACACTTTATAGATACAATAAAATTTTATGATTTTAATGAATGTATTGTATAATTGTATATGTGTATCTTCGTATTCCATCCAACCCCCAAATCAATTATCAATTCTTCACATTCCAATGTAATATTGAATTCCATTCATTTTGACAACCAAACAAGCGATGGAATGGAATCTTGAATTCCAATTCCCAAACATGCCCTAAGTAGATGGAGTGATAATCATGTGTAGTGGAGCCTACCTGCTTGGTGTGCCACAACCAACATTGACATGATTCTTTAAACAGGAAACCTGGAGGCAAGAAAGAATACATGTATAAATATCAAAACAAACAAAATAATCTTGTATGAAGAAAGTAATATTACCTGTTCTTCAATCTTCAAATGCTTTGCGAAAAGTTTTGCAGCATGGCAATCTTTAGTAAAAGGCTTCAAACTCCTGAAGGTTTGTGACAAAAAAAATATATAACTAATTAGATAACTTGAGAATTTTTTGGTCATGCTTCTGTAATGTTTACACTTTAGCTATATATGGATGTTTCTTTTTGATTTGCTAAATGTCACAATAGTCTTATATAGTCGATTGTTCCTATTAGTTAACTTGAGTTAATGTACTGATAATTTGATCAGGGTAGTATTCAAAACATAGAATTTGCCAAGTCAATCTATTATTCATATCAAATATTTATGAATCTATACTATTACTTATATCAAATATTTAACAATCTATAGGAAGAATTTTTAACTGATTGGTCATTTACTGTTATTGGCTTATTAAAATTGTTCATTCAACCCCAAAACAACATTTGTTCATACAACACTTACTCCTGAGTCGGACATCATTTATCTAGTCAGCACTTAAGGAAGAAAAAGAAAGAAATAGGGCCTTAATCAAACTTCTTTTTACAAAGTACAAGAATCATATCTTTTAGTGCAACAGAAACATGGAGAGTATCAAAAAGGAGATATACTTTATGACATGAACTAATTACCTGAGTAGTTCTAGTGATCTTAAGGCAGATAAACTAATTGTAAGTAGTGCAGGATTCCCAGGTTCAGAATGTTTGAGCTCTTTTTTACATAAGACTTCTTTCCAAGATGGTCCAAAGGAAGCCTTCATATGCTCACTTAAATTACTGACATCCTGAGGTAGGGTTTCAGATAGTTTCACAATACACGCATCTGCAGCATCATCAAAACCAACACAGCATATTATCAAGAGAGAATAAATGAAATATGTGTTTTCAGTTAGAAAGTTATTGCAATTGTGTATACAAGAAGCAATATTTGCATTAATTCTTCTTTTATGGGAGACTAATAAGAAAGAACAAAATTTGGGGGGAATATAAAGAGAGGGTGGATTTGTAATAGCCACAACAAGCAAACAGGTTATTTTAACATATAATGTTGTAAAAATAAACGCTCGACGATTAAACTCTAAAGATTAATAGTATATACTGGAAACTACATATCAGAAAGCATACCTGTAAATGATTCAAGTTCGAGAGATGAAAGTTGTATGCCATTTGCTGATTGATACTGCTGTATGAAAAAATCCAGCTGCTGCGAAGCTGTTGTCAACAATTCAGGTGGCGGAGGTAGCTGTGGCTGCGACTTCTGAGGCTGAGGCTGCGGCGGTGCTTTGGGCTTGGTTTTTTTAACTTTTTTTGACGATTTGGTTTTCGGTTTGAGATTATTACTGCCATGTTTTCCTGGTCGCTTTGAAGATCCATGTGGTTTTGAATTTTTCTGTGGTTTCGCCATTCCTTCTTCTGCTCACCCTGTCAATGCCGTTGGGTGGCGACTAGGTTTACAAAAACACGTAGGAGGGAACGACAGACAAAAGGTTCCTTTTTATATCTAGGGCTAATATAGTCATTTTATATGTTTTGTATTTTTTTGTATTTTTTTTATTTTTATTTTTTTAATTCTAATTGGATATTTTAGGGGTGATTGGGATTAGAATTCGAAATGGGTAATGTATTTTGGAATAATCAAAATTAAATAACAAGTTATAGCAAAACGAATTTAAAAAGATATAACGTATAGGGAAAAACTCTTCAAATCGCTTCTTATTTTCTTGTCTTATATTGTAAATTACAAATAGCTAACATATAAATAGCAACCGATGTATCTTCAAGGTTTTGGTCAACTCATTAGTTTCAAATTTTGTTATAAAATGATAAAATTTCCTATTTTTTATGAAACGAGTTGTCTCATTAAATCTTATAGTTACAAGTTCCAACAATCAATGTTAGTTATAAATAATAATCATGGAAAAATGTTGAGAATAATAATCATGAAAAAATGTTGAGTCATCGGAAATCAGGTAATGGAAAAGAGTTTTTTGTGAGTAAAGATAAGATGAGACAACATTAAACCATACTTACAACCCAAAATTATTAAAGAACAAAGTTTTAAAAGACATATGTAATCCCCATAACTCCAACATACAATCGATCTTAATCCCCCTTCATCATCCATCATATAGTAGTGGAGCTCATAAAAGTGGCTCAACATGTTTAAGATAACCAAAAAACTTATAACTATAAATAGATTCAAGCTTCAAGATACATAATCCCTAGCAAACAAGAAGTTACAAGTCATTTCTTCTATAGATTCTTGATTTTCAGAAAATCTACATTTTTCCATCTGTTTTTTCTCCTTTCTATAAACCTCAAACTCAACAACTCTACCACTTTTTTCAAGACCAGCCAGCAACACATTATAAGTTCCAAGAACAACTGGAATCCCTGCCTCCTTCATATCTTTAAACATCTGGAGTCCTTTAGATGTGTTTCTTGAAGCAAAGTAAGCTGCCATTAAAGCAGTGTAAGTTGTCGTGTTCTTCTCATCATCAGGCAACAAATCAAACACTTTTGAAGCCGAAACATGCTTTTTAGCACACCCAAGCTTGTATATCAACAAGGCACTTTGATTAATTCCAAGAAAGATTCCGTTTTTAACCATTTCTTCAACAATATCCACAATTTTCGGGAAAGAATTCGTCCTAATAAACAAACCCACCAAGGAAAGATACAAAACTTTCTCAAATTTCATCCCCGTTTTTTTACCCAATTCATACGCCAAAACCGCACCATGAGGTCTATCATGAGCAACGCACGCTTCAATAACCGATGAAAGAATCCCGGAAGTCAACGGAACGGTCTTCTCCATCATATCTTTTAGTAAAAAGTCAACCCCAACGAAGTGTTTTCTGGTCAAAAGATTTAACACAAGGTGTTCATCTATGGAGCTTGTGTCTGAAATTGTACTTTCTAAAGGTTCCACTTTAGTTTGCTGAATTGATAAATGGCGATTTGATTCCTTGAGAAGAACATCGCTTTTCCCTGCACTTGTTAAAGTTTCAAGGGCTTTTGCGTATACGGGTTGGCGAAGTACAAGTGAGTTTTCTTTCATATAAAGAAGAATCTTCATCATAACCGATGTTTCACCAGCTTTGCAACAATTTTCAACTAGAATGTTGCATGTAGCTTTATCGGGTTGCACTCCTGCTTCTTGCATCTTAATAAAGATATCTAAGACCTCGTTGAATTTTCCTGCAATTGATTTCAGTGTACTATAATTGACGTAAGATTAGGATATGATTACAAAAACAAAAACAAAAAAAATAAAAAATGATGATGTTATGATATGAACATATAGATTAAATAACACATACCACAAGCAGCAAGATGCTCCATTAAGACGGTGTAAGTAAAACAATTTGGAGGGCAACCAGACTGAATCATCTCCCTGTAAATTTTAGTGGCCTCTTTGACTCTACCATGATGAAAAAGAACCTTCATATAAGCAGTGTAAGAAACAACAGTTGGATAAAAGCCTTTCTCTTTCATCTCCTCCCATAACTTCACAGACCCATCAATATCCCCATCATTCGATAGCCAATGTAGCATCGAAGTATAAGTAACCACATCAATTTTAATCCCCTTCTCCTCCATTTGCTGGAAAACAAACCTCATTGACGAAATTCTCCTTGCTTCCCCAAATATATCCATCATAGTAGTGTACGTGAACTGATCGTGCTTGAAATTTTTCAATCCAGATGCCCAATTGAAGAACAGCCAAGCTTTTTCCATTGGAGGGTGGGTTTTGAGAACTTGATTGATTGTGTAAGAATCCCATTTAATGCCAAGGGTTTCCAACTGTTTTTGAGCAGAATCCCAAGTCGAATACCTAAGTATGTTTGATATGGTTCTGATTGTATCTTTCATGTACACTATTGGATTTACTACATTCTCTTTTTTGATGTTTGGTTTGTTAGTTTTCTTGAACTTTCTGGCGATTTTCTTAATGGGTTTGTTCTGTTTCAATTGGGGTTGTGAATGAAAACAATTAGCGGTGGTGTTTGCATAGCAAGAAAACCGATCAACACGAAAACGCAAAAGGGGTTTGTGGTTTCTGAGAAACCGAAAGGAAAAATAAGAAGCAACCATGAATATACGAAGCACAGACAAAGCAACTAGAATTTTCCTAAGGTTTTGTCAAGTTAGAGTCACGACACCTAAATGTCAGAGAGAAATCTTCGGGGTACTAGTACAAGGAGGAAAGATTTTAGGATGTGGGGGAAAAGGAGTACCTGGGATTAAAGAGGACCGGATAGAGTAAAGTATAGAACCAGCGGCGATGATTAAATTCTCGTGTGGCCGGCGGCGAGCAGAGGAAAGCGTAGTCAAGTGGCGTTCCGGTTTTTACTTGAGATTACGATTACATACGTTATAGGTAAACTATGACACGGAATACCGAATTAAAAAAACATGAGATGTTATTTTGTATTTAAAGTCATGAAATTGGGGATTCGGTATCGTCCGTACCGTACCAAAAATCGGTATCAGAACCGATAATGTTAATTTGATTCGGTATTTGGGATTGATTTTTGATTAAATTTGGTTTTTGAAAAATCAAGAACGATATTAGTCAGTACCAGTTCCATCAATCGTTCATCCCTGCTTATGTTTTTTTTAGTAAATTATAGTATTGGTCCCTATGGTTTAAATATGAAATAATAGTTTTGGTCCTACTTTTGAAAAAGTAACACTACTAAGCCTTATAGAGGGTTTTGGTAACAAATTTGCTCATTGGGATTGTTAACCCTTGTTAATCACACTTAATATTTATGTTAAAAAGACAAAAATACCCTATGTGAAATAACAAAAATACCACCACTTTGTTCTTGAACCCTAAAAATGTTTCACGTGCCTCTTTCTCTTTACTAGTAGACAACATTTTTGCCTCTTCCCTCTTCACTGCTGCTCGCACACCACCATCCTCATCTCTCCGCCTATAATAAATGGAAATTGTTCAGCATCTGTGTAGTCATTGGTGTCGTCGCAAAGACCATTCCACCATGTTTTCCGCTGACCAATCCACATCCCATTGCCATCTTCCTTCATTAACCCTTTTCGTGATTGGTGGTAGTGATTAACCTAATGTGCTCCTCTATCGCCATCTCTTTCTCCACCTCATGTGTAATTGTTAAAGGCCCAAGAAGATGTTACCTTTGTTGGATTAAGTATCTTAGCTCATAACTAAATTTGTATATACTTGAATTGATAATAATAAAGTCCTTTTGGGTTGCCCTCAAACCTAACAATTGGACATGATGACTTTTAGAGAGAGAGCGAGTGAGTGAGTGAGAGAGAGAGAGAGAGAGAGAGATGTACTAATGTATTATGAAAATAATATATTGATTAGAAATCATATTATTTAATTAATAATTAATCAGAAAATAATTTGAAGTAATTGGATTAAGTATAAGTGCAGTGACTGTTTGGTTATTTATTGAAAGTTGAAGGAAGAAGGCCCAAGGACCTCATTAGATGAGATAGATGAAAATCACTTGGGCAAGCCCAAGAGTTTTCGTCTAAGCCCCTTGGATAAGGGGAATGGGCTATTTGGTCACCAAGCAAGGGAATTTAGGGTTTCCTCCTTAAATTCTAGCTTTGTCATCAAGCTACCTCAATTATATAAAGGTCATAGCCCTTCACAATTTTGGCACTCCCTCCCTCAACAAGCCTTGGACGAAATTTAGCTATCTCTTCTCTGTCACACCCCGAACCGAAACGGCGGAAACGTGTGGGGACGGATAACGTCATGTATAGTATCATAACATTTGAATAATAGAGATCAAAGCATTAAAAACATTAAATTGATAAGTTATAAGTTTTTACATTGAGGTTGATTCATTTTTTGTTTGACTCCAAAAACATACGACAAAAATATAAGACGTAACACTGCTACGCTTCATCTTCACCAAACTTGTGTGGGTACTTGTCTATTGATTTTCTGAGAATATATGTGGTTTTGAAAAAATGCCAACATTTAAGTTTGTGAGCTCATAAGTATTTTGTATGAGAAAGATATGACATTGTTCCTTGAAAATGATAGTATGTTCTTCCAGAAAATCCTATATTATCTTTTAAAGTGAATTGTAGTCTTAAAATCCTAAGACTAAAAATGTATAAGTATTGTTGTACTCTGAAGTAGTATAATGTAGTTTTATATATTTGTATAACCATTTGAATGCATATATGTTTCCAAAAATGTAAAATGTATTGCACTGGGAAATAGTGTAATGTAGTTTTATTTAAATAAAACCATTTGAAGATATGTATGTATTCGTAAACCAACCATGTTGTTAATACCCCTTGTGAGTTATTATAACCATGTTAATGACCTAGTTGGCATGTACGACATTCTTCAGACGTCGAAATGGTACGACATTTGTCACCTCAGACCTGCCGGTCCAACTAACAGTTTAGGTGTGGGATTGTCAATCCCGTATAGATCAATACACAAGCGTTACGCTCTCTTACGGGAGAATCTGGTTATAACACAAGAACTTTAGTATGTACTTTGGTAAGTACGGTAATGGTATGTATCACAAACTCGTATTGCCAGTTTACGTGTAGTATAATGAAAAGTCATTTTGTAATGTGGAAGTATTATGTCACACCCCAAAACCGAAACGGCGGAAACGTTCTGGGGCGGAGGACATCATGTACAATATCACAACAAAGCATAATAGTAAACAAGCAACAACATCATTCATTGCATTAATAATGTAATTTAATACAGGTGTGTTCTGTATAGTTTAAAAGACACCAAAAATATGAATCAAAATAAAAGATGAATCTTGAATGTGCTCCATCTTCTCAAAAGCTGGCATCGATACCTATCTATTGATGACCTGAGAATACAAGTTATTTTGAAAGAGTTTATCAGCTTTAAAGCTGGTGAGTTCATAAGCATTTTAGTGTCATTGTTTGTATAAAAATGTTTGTAACAGTGTAATGTAAGTGTTTGTAATTGTTTGTAAATGTTTTCACTTCCTAGAAAATCCTATATTTTCTACTGAAATGTAGTCTTCTACCAAGACCCGACTATTTGTATGTTTGTTCTTTTGTAAATGTGTGAGTTTTCCCAAGTATAGCTATCATAAACAAAATATAGTTTACATTATCGTTTATGTGAGAATATCACAAAGTAAATGCAATTGGGAAAACAATGTTTTATCTCAGCAGTGACACTACTGACTATAAGTTGATAAAATAAAGACTCCAGGTAGTATTAAATGTGCTATACCCCTCAGGGAGTCTTATTGCCTTTAATTCTTAGTCGATTAATTAAAGTTTTAGATGTGAACTGGTTGTAACCATGCTGATTGACGGTGGAATACCTGACAACCTTTTGGTTTCATAAAATAGTGAGGTGACATTTTGTCACCCCTTGGCCTTACCAGCTAGGACTGTAGCTAGCAGTCGGGGTGTGGGAGTGTCTGTCCCATATAGATCTATACACATGATGTCTGTTCTCCCTCCAGGAGACTCTGGTTACAATATGATACAACAATGTCTTGTTGTATCCGGAATAATATGTCACATTCTAGTTATCTTATTCTAATGTTTGTATAGTATATTCCCATGTATAGTATCGTGTAAGTTCCTTTAGTTTATCTTCATAGTATGTTCTATTCTATAGTGTATAGTATGTATTGTTTCTCGTTATAGTATTCTCTATCTGTTTCTTTTTATAGTAAGTATCGACTCATGTATGAACGAACTCTTTGTATGTTTCATTGTACTAGAAATAGTAAGTAATGACTTCCTAAACTATACCTATTATAGTTCACTAGTAGAGTTGTTTGTATTGACTGAGTGTGTTGAACTGAAATAAAAACTTTTATGTATATACATATATACTAAATATATAACTAAGGATCAAACGACACTCGGACAAACAACAGGGTACTCTAAGTCCACAACCAAACAAGGAACAGGAAATAAAGTGAGTTGTCAGTCTTAAGTCCTTCAAACCTTACTTATATAACTATATATGCATTAGACATGGTTTTAACAACATATAAGTTTGAAAGAGTTAAAAGAAAAGGTTTGGCATATAAGAACAAGTTTGGTAAAGACTTTAGTACTATAAAAGAGTGTGATAAACATTTTGAAGTAGTTTGATTGATAACACAGTTAAAAGTATAGTAAATTCATCTATTTGATAGTTATTAATCACATGTGATTGATATAATAACTAAAATGTTTCAACTTGTATCTCCCCCCCCCCATAAAAGCATTTAAAATTATTTAAAAGGTTGATTAAGGGGTATGAACTCACCTACAGTGAGTGATGCGAATGAAAGATCAGTATAGGATGCTAAGTGTCAAGTGAAGACTTGAGCACACACGGATCGTATTTAACATATAATGACACATATATGCATCTAATTAGTGATTAAACAACTAATTAAGCAAGTAAATATTGTCCATGACATGGAAAACAATTTAATTCAAGTGCTAGAAGTACAAAGGGTTGCATCTAAGGGTTATAAGGCCTCACATAGGAGTTTACAGCCCAATGGTAAGACCCCCATGAGTTTACGGCCCATGGGTTTACATCCCAATGATTTTACGATCATAAACTCATGGTATCTTGTACCATTTTGTGTGTTAAGGTCCTATGGTCTTCTTGTAAGTGTTCTAGACTTAGTTCCAAGGCTTAGGAAGGAGTAGTGGCAACATTGCACCACTAATTAGGGTTTACGGCCAGGGGAGCTTGTCTTGGCCGTAAACACCCTTTTGTTCTTGATTTCTTGATGTTTTCAAGGTGTTTAACATGTGATTCAAGTATATAACAAGCTAAGGGTAGTGTACTTACGATTTGAAAGCAAATGAGGGTGTTTTCGGCCCAAAATACTTAAGTGTTCTTGATGTTCTTGAAGATCTAGACCAAAAAGATGAAATTTGTGGATGAATTCAAGATTGAATCAAGAAGAAGTGATGTATTAACTCACAAAGGGAAGGAATCACTTACATTTTTGAAGTTTAGAAGAAAAATCCTTATGATCCTTAGGAGAGAAATCGAGTTCTAGGCTTGGAAATGTGAAAAGTGATTGAAAAATGACTAAGGACCATATATATAGCATGGAGTTTACGGCCACCATGAGTTTACGGCCGTAAACTCATGGTTCCTGGCCGTAAACTCCTCTTTTGAGGGTTTATGGCTTTCTTGATAGTTTACAACTTCAATTGGCACTTCTTTTCATTCATTCCTTTGGTGTACTAAGCTCAGAATGCTCAAACATACTCTAAACAGTGCTAAAAGTTAGCAGAAATAAGTCTAACTTTGATTGAAGCGCATGGTTTGTACAAGATAGAAATTTGGGGTTGTCACATCATCCCCCCATTGGAGGGAATTTCGTTCCGAAATTAGAGTTTAAGCAATTACATAGTTACAAATAACTAAGCGAAAAGATGAGGATATTTCAATTTCATTTGATCCTCGCGCTCCCAAGTGAATTCCGGTCCTCGCTTGGCATTCCAGTGAACTTTCACTATCGGGATACGGCTTTGCTTCGTTTTCTTGACCTCTCAGTCCATGATCTCTACAGGTTCTTCCACGAAGTTGAGGCTCTTGTTGATCTTCATCTCGCCGAGTGGGATTACAAGAGTCTCATCGGATAGGCAGTTTTTCAAGTTCGAGATGTGGAAAGTAGAATGTATGTTACTAAGTTCGTGGGGTAGATTGAGTTTGTAAGCTACAGGGCCGATTCTTGCAAGAATCTCGAAAGGCCTTATGTGTCTTTAATTTAGCTTTCCCGGCTTTCTGAAGCATATCAAGCCCTTCCAGGGTGAGACTTTCAAAAGGACTCGATCTCCTACCTGGAATTCCAAAGGTTTCCTTCGTTTGTCTGCGTAGCTTTTCTGGCGGTCTCTAGAGGCTTTCAATCGTTCACGAATCTGAACGATCTTCTCTGTCATTTTCTGAATGATCTTCGAACCCATGAGAGTGTTGTCAGGAACTCGTCCTTTAGGTAACTGTGTGACACCCACCTCAGCCCAGCAAATAGAGGATCTGCAATTCCGACCATAGAGGGCCTCGAACGGAG